CGTGTTTACTGGGTATCAGAGATGGCAAAATATCAATTAAATTTTTTATAATTGAACAAATGATATGAACAGATTTAATTAAAATTTTTTAATTGACGATTAATTTTAGAAAGATTAATTAGATTTCGTTACAATGACGATTGATATAAGCTAGATTAATCGAAGATCGTTTAATTAACAATTAATATGATCGAAGTCAATTAAAGATTATTTAATTGACAATTGATATAAACGAAATTAATCGGACATCGATCGATTAACAATTAATACAAGCTAATTTAATTAAAAGTTTTTTAATTAACGATTAATATGAGTTAATTTTAATTAGAAGTACTTTAATTGACGATTGAAACAAACAGATTCAATCGAAGACAATTCAATTGACAATTGATTTGAGCAGAAACAATTAAAAAATATTTAATTGACGATTAAATATAGCAAATTTAATGCGAATCTCTTCCATTAATGATTGACTTAAAAAAATCGATATAATTTCTTTATTTCGATTAATTAACAATGTGTAACGATTAATACAATTTAAATTTTAATCGAAGATGTTTGATTGATGATATTAATATGACTGAATTTAAATAATATATATCTTTTCCTTGGTTCTAGCAAAGTTATTGTACGTAATAGTTACAATATAAATAATAAATAATTTACGTTTTTTAAACCATATTTTTATTCAGAACATTTTCAATTCATTATACATTTTATTATATTTAATTTAATTATATTTAATGTTAATATATATTTCTCGAATTTTTTTTCATTTGTTCTAAAATAATAAATGTATAATATGTTATAATAAAATGTGTTGTACATATATACAATATATATTATAATTCAAAATTATTAATCAAATGTAAATATTGCAGGAAGTTTGGTAATACAACGAAGTGTAACCATACAGTTTCCTTCTGGAGAACATTTCTGCATTCAATTAGGTAACCGTTTCACAATGTTTTTACATATTACATTCAAATTGTGTTTATTTATTATAAATAAATTATTAGAGAGAAATATTGGAAAATATTGAATAACATAATTAGAATACGTTGTATATAAATATTTATATAAATGGTCTTGTTTTAAAATTGTATTATTATTTAAATGCTTAGAATGTATATATTTTAAGAGTTTAACTAGGCTCTGTAATATATAAATATAAATTTAACATATATAAGATAGGCAATAAGAGCCAAATCGCGGATGACAGTGCGTTATTCTAAACGAAACTAAAATTTTTTTCGTTAGAATTAAATACCTGTGCACAAGGCACCAAATTTTTACTTGGACACGGCCAAGATATAAAATTGGAATAATCTCTACAAGAGATTTTTAATTCCATGTATCCCCTATTCCCCCTAAAGAAATAAAGTGCGAGAGAAAAATATAGATCCGAAAGTCGCAGAATCGGGAATCGAACCCGAGACCTTTCGCTTGCCGGGCGACTGCTCTTCCAACTGAGCTATTCAGATCCTTTCGATTCTATACTTTTCTCTGTTATATATATTAATGTTGGTAAATAAACGCCTTTAAGCCAGCGTGTATAAATTAAGAGTTTAACTAGGCTCTGTAATATATAAATATAAATTTAACATATATAAGATAGGCAATAAGAGCCAAATCGCGGATGACAGTGCGTTATTCTAAACGAAACTAAAATTTTTTTCGTTAGAATTAAATACCTGTGCACAAGACACCAAATTTTTACTTGGACACGGCCAAGATATAAAATTGGAATAATCTCTACAAGAGATTTTTAATTCCATGTATCCCCTATTCCCCCTAAAGAAATTCGATTCCCGATTCTGCGACTTTCGGATCTATATTTTTCTCTCGCACTTTATTTCTTTAGGGGGAATAGGGGATACATGGAATTAAAAATTTCTTGTAGAGATTATTCCAATTTTATATCTTGGCCGTGTCCAAGTAAAAATTTGGTGCCTTGTGCACAGGTATTTAATTCTAACGAAAAAATTTTAGTTTCGTTTAGAATAACGCACTGTCATCCGCGATTTGGCTCTTATTGCCTATCTTATATATGTTAAATTTATATTTGTATATATTTTGTTATTATGTATTTATTTATATATTTATATTTTTTTTATATTGAAAAGATTCATTTTTCTTTTTCCTTTTTTTAAATTAATAAATTTTATTAAATATTTGTTTGCCAATTAAACAAAAATGTAATCGTACACCAGCAATTACTTTTCAAAATATTATTTTCTTGTGTGTGAATAGTTTCATATAATATCTAGATTGCAAATATATATTGTTAATAATAATAGTTTTGTTGCATATCTATTATGCATATAATTTGGAAATAATATAATTTAATAATTAAAAATTGCAAACAGAATAATATCTTCACAATTTATATTTATTATATTATATCTGCACATATTCATATTGATGAGATAATTGTTTATTATATAAAATCATGTGCGTGATAATTAAATATATTTTCTATGTAATCAAATTAATAAGGAATATAATGATTTAACATGATTATATTCTAAATCTGTTGGTGAAAACGTTACGTGTAACAAATATATACAATTTAAGTTATTAAAATTTTATTTTTGTAAAATATCATTTACTTTGTAGAATACTTGAAAATATTACAATTCTATTTCTTAATAATAAATTAATTAAATTTAATAAAGGAAATAAAACATTTTATCGTGTTCTGATATTGGACTTATTAACCATAGCGTGTAATTAAATATTATAGGTCTACGCTTATTGTGATAAAGCTCTTTGATTGTTAATTGACTGAAATATAACCTAAGAGCTTTGGACATTCACATTCCACAGTAATCAAAGAGTTAGGATTATCAATTTTCTTGAAGGTAACGTATTGATAGTTTGTTCATTACTTGTCATAATGCAAATACAATTTGACTTTATCACTTTATAATTATTAAAAATCGTTTTAGAGTGAATCTTATGTAACAAGCTTTTTTTGGTTTTCTTCGGAATTTTTTATAAAGAACTCATAAATGTTTTGTATATGTATAAAAAATTTTATTTTAAAAAAGGTAAAAAAAGTTGTTAAGTCCGCGTCAAAAACTATATCTCCAAAATCTTACAGAATCTTAAAACATATCTAAAAATTGCGCTAAGCATAAATAAAACCTTATTAAAATATTTTAATTTAAAAAAGTTGCACAAAATAGTTGTTTTAATTTCTTATAAAAATAATGAATTTAAAATACATACTGACATTAAAACTTGGGACAAAAAAGATATAAACATTACAAACTTGCGACAAGAAAAAATAAAAAAACATTAAAAACTTGCGAAAAAAAGTAGAACAATTTAATTTAAAAACTTAGCACTGCTAAGCTAAACAACATATTAATAATTGTAATTGTTGTATTAAACTATACAATTGAAATTTTAATTGAAGTAATATGCAATAATGACATTAGCAATGCTAAGTTTTTAAATTAATTTTTTTTGTCGCAAGTCTTTAATGTTTATATTTTTGTTATTGCAAGTTTTTAATGTTATTATATATTTTAAATACATTATTTTTCAGATATGTTTTAAGATTCTGTAAGATTTTGCAGATATAGTTTTTGACGCGGACTTAACAACTTTTTTTACCTTTTTTAAAATAAAATTTTTTATACATATACAAAACATTTATGAGTTCTTTATAAAAAATTCCGAAGAAAACCAAAAAAAGCTTCCCAGCAAACACATATTATAACAGTTATATAACATTGGAGTCAAAAATTAAAATAACAGCGTTATATTTTTATTATATAATTGTTATGTATTATCTATTTATTATTGCTATATAACATACTAGCAAACGCATATATTATAACAGTTATATAACATTGAAACAAAAAATTAATATAACAGCTGTTATATATTTATTACATAAATTTATATATCATCTGTTTGCCGTTGCTATATAATATATTAGTAAATACCTATTATAACAGTTATATAACATTAGAATAAAAAATTAAGATAACAGCTGTTACATAATATTTATTATATAAAATATATAACTCGTTTACTGTGTTGTTATATAATGTGTACGAAGAATAGTTATATGTTTCTTCATTTGCGTGTTTTGTGCAATGCTGCTAAATTTCGCGGTTTTTGTATACACACGGTCTTTTCCCGCGTGCTAAATGCATAATGTGGTGACAATGAAAAACCAATATTAAAGTAGCGCTGGTGTCGCAGTAATACGTGATCGCCTCTCTAATAAAATATGATTTATGGTTGAATTATTGTTGGCGGGAAAGCCGGCAAAAAATATTGTGCTGTGCCTTCGTGTTGCAAAAGATTCACTTTCTTTACATAAACCAAAGACTGTAAGTATATTTAAAGTACTTATTATAAGACTGTTATATATTTTATATAACTGCGATGTTCGTCATTCCTCTAATATGCTTTTTCTTACAGAGATTAAAACTCTCTCCATTGAAAGATTTGATCGCCACATCTCGAGAGACCCTGAGCTATTGCTATTTGATCGTAATTCGTTTATCGTAAGTACACAATTATTGTGGATGAGCTGTGGAATGCTGGATTTATATATTGAAGAAGCCGGAAAGTGTAAATATTATTAAACAACACAATTATTAATATTGCAAAATTTTTTAGGTTATATAGCGATATAGCCATAAAAAATATTGTAATCTGTACGCTATATATATATATATTGTATATATGTTTTATTTCATAATTATTATTTGCATATTATGTTCTTTATTAATATTATATATACTTAATAGATTCAATCAGTAAATAATATTTTATTCATCATTAGACATTTGTGAAGTGTCATCGAAGCATCAATTTTTATGGTTTTCATATATTTTATCATATATTTTACAATAAGTCATTGTCAATAAGTGTATTAATTTTTTAAAACTGCTCTTTAAGATATTTTGCATATACAGTTTATATATATATCGCATATTTTATTTAATTTTTAATATGCTTATTGCCATATTATCTATTCGCATTTTGTTTCAGATTAATTTGATTATTTGTATGTAAAGTTTACTTGTATTTTATTAATATTTGCATATGATTTTGTATCTTATATAGTTAACTAAGATTTATTAATATTCAAATATTTTATTATTTTTTTCTAACTACTATAACTTAATTTTATAAATTTGTTCTAATTTAAATAATCGATCAAAATTATCAACATGCCAAAAACATATCACCATTTATCAAAAAGACGTAAAAATCAATTGATTTCATGTCATATGTCACAATTACATAAAATTACAACTACAACATCAAATGTTTCCAAAAAACATTTTAAAATTAATTCTGCTAATATAGAAATGGCCTGTAATTCTAACTCAGAGAATACATTTTCAAATGAAACTAATACTCTTCTCAGTGATAACATTTTTGATGCATCCAATAATATCCTTAATCCATCAATGAATAATAGTTTTTCAGCATCTAATAGTTTTGACATTCCTATTGCATCAGATCAAGATAGTTCTTCATTGTCTAATTTTTCTTCCAAATCAATTGATTTTAATAATGAAATCTCGGTACAAAATGTACAAAACTTAAGTTTACAAGAAGATTTGCAAATCTTAGTTTCAAAGCATTGTATTCCTCAAGGTACTGTAGATAAACTTCTTTTTATTTTGCGGAAACATGGTCATAATGATTTACCTGAAACGTGTAGAACTTTAATGAAAACACCACGTAATACTTTTCAAAATATATCTGCTGTTAGTGGTGGAAGATACATTCATTTTGGATTAGCTTCGGGAATAAAATACTCTATATCAAAATATTGTAAAATTATGCCTCGTGAAATAAAAATAAATATTAATATCGATGGTCTACCTTTAAGTAAAAGTTCAAGTAGCCAGTTTTGGCCTATTCTCGCATCAATTGAAATTAAAGATCTTTATACCGAGCCTTTTGCAGTTGGGGTATTTCACGGAATGTCCAAACCGAATAATGTAAATGATTTTCTTCATCCTTTTGTTAATGAAGCACAAATTGTTTTTCGAGATGGTATATTATTAGATAATAATTTCTATTGTAAAATCATATTGAATGCAATTTTATGCGATGCTCCTGCAAAATCATTAATCACATGTACCAAAGGTCACACAGGTTATTTTTCATGTTCAAAATGTTTTCAAGAAGGTGATTTTGTATGTAATCGAGTTGTCTTTCCGGAAATTAATTGCACACTAAGAACAAATGAATCATTTCGTACTCGTAGTCAAGAGGAGCATCATATAGGTGATTCAATTTTAGAAAATCTCCCTATAGATATGATTTCACAAATTCCTTTAGATTACATGCACCTTGTTTGTTTAGGATCGAGGCGTTTATTACAATTTTATGTCAGGGGTAAGAAAGGTGTAAGATTATCCAAAGTTGCAATTGATTCTATTAATAAACATCTACTTGACACAAGAAAATTTATAACTAAAGAATTTGCGAGAATGCCAAAAAGTTTAATATGTATTGATAGTTGGAAAGCTACGGAAGTTCGCCTTTTTTTACTTTATTTGGGTTTAGTTTTGTTAAAGCCATTTTTGTCTAAAGACTATTATAATCATTTTTTATCACTAAGTATAGCTATTCGTATATTTGCAGATCCAAAAAAATGTTTAGTTCTTAACGATTTCGCACATTCCTTGATAACCTGGTTTATTTCAAACTATAGAAATGCTTTTGGACTGGAATATCTTTCACATAATATTCATAATTTAGAACATCTTGCAAATGATGTCAAAACTTTGGGATGTTTAGATGCTTTTAGTTGTTTTAAATTTGAGAATCACATGCAAAAAATTAAAAAGCGAATAAAAAATTGTGGCAAACCATTAGAGGAATATTCTAATCGAATTTTCGAATTAAATCAACTTCCAGTAGAAAAATCATATTTAAAGTCATATCCTATTATTCATTTTAAAAAGACAATTCAAAACACTAATGATATATCTCATTTAGAGTTCAATGGCTTCAATATTTTTACAAAAGAAAATGAAAACTGTTGTTTGTTGAACGATAATTCTTTGGCATTTATTTTAGAAGTAATTTTAGATAGTAATGATGTTCCATACATAAATGTAAAGCGAATTTTATATACCGAACCATTTTTTAACACTCCATGTGATTCTAAAGAACTACTGGGTATACAAACTTTTTTGGAAACAAGTCCTTTTAACATAGAAAAATTGCCGGCAACAAACATAAAAACAAAATGTTTGAAATTAAAACATCTTGAGTTGCAAAACACATTTGTTATAATTCCACTTTTGCATGCATGTACCTAATTATTCTTATTTTGATTTTTTCTTTTAAAGAATTATTCTCATCTTGCAGTAATTTTATGTTCTTTTTAACAGCTTTATCATTACCAAGATTAAATACTTTAGTGTTTTTTTTTAAAGAATGATGAGATAATACTGCAGGTTTTTTATGACTATTTTGATTTTCATATATTGCTATGTATGGTTGGTTTTAGCTTTAAGTTGTTTAAAATATTAAATAAATACTTTGATATTACCTATAATTAAGATTATTTTGTACCACGCCTTTTTTCACGGACAATACTTTCGTTTTATAACAAACTTTATATTCTACAAAGAATAATAGCTATGTACATATATACATACACACATATATTAGTATAGAATCTATAGTGTCAAACTCACACACATCCTCGATACCCATCGTTCTACCTGAACATTACGGGTGGTGTGCGAATTATAAGACACTCTGTATTCTGCATATATATTTTTTTCAGAGAAAATGTCCGAAACAAAATTGTACGCAATTGTACAATTTTTAGCTGATGAATCTTTCTCAGAGATTCCAACAAATTGGATTCAACGAAATAATGATGGCTTTATTTGTTGGTGGCCTAACACAAAGAATATCAGTTCGCTTATTAAAAATCGAGATGAACCGGATAAAAAATTATGGTCAAGATTTGATATAACGGTGATAAAATATTGTTGTAAGTAATAATTTTATGAACACTATTTTAATTATATTTTCATTATTTTAATTTTTTTAACGTGTAAATGCATATTTTATTTATATTTTGTGTCAAAAATTAATTTATTATGATTACTATATGCATATTATTACGGATGTTATTGTTATTGTTATTATATTTATATGTACATATGTATTTATTATTATTATTATTTGGGTAGCGTCACTTGCATCTGCTCGCAAATCAGCTGCAGATGCTCAGTATGGTACGACTGATGAAGAAAAATGTGGCCGAGGACAAAGAAAATTAAAGAAAAATGAATATTATTTTTCTGAGAACGATGAAAATGATTATACTGACGATTCGAATGATGAAGAAAGAAACGCGTGTGATGATGATGAAGAAAATTACGATAACGAAAAAAACAAATCGGTTAAACACTTGAAACAGAGTAAATTTTAACATTTACTTTGAATTAAATTTTTTTATATAATTGCTGAATATTTGAGATGCTTATTTATTTTTGTTTGTTATTTTCTTATTATTTTATTTTGTTTGCAGATATTAATCGACCTGTTTTTAATTCTATTCCTGAATACAATTCTCAGCAAAAAGATAATTGTTGCCAATCTATCAATACTTCCAGTACTGATAAAAATTCAAATTGTTTTGTTTCCAAAAATACTGATAATGAAATTTCAGTATCACGCACAAGTAAGTTTATATATCTTACAATTTCTATGAATATAATAAAATGTAAATATTAAATAACCAACAATTGTAATCTGTAGATAACAACAAATGCAGTTCTAATGAAAAAACAAAAAAAATTACATATTCTGATAAGTCCGCATCACCCTCTGGTATAATGGATATTGAGAGTATTCCTATCTTAGAACTTCCAGAAATACAAGATATTTATAAAATTCTAGAACGGATAGAAAGTAAGTTATGACAAATTATATCTGCAACGTATTATATGTACAATATTTTAAGAATTTATTAAATATTTAATACTCATATATTTAATACTCTAATATACTTAATATTTAATACTAACACTGTGCGTGTGTGTCAATTATATGGATGATGTTTGCAATTATAAAAATATACAGAAATATATATACATATATATATATATTATATATATGTGCACGCTATACGTTTCTTTTTAATTGTAGCAGGTTTAGATAAAGTTATACGTGCAAACGTTGCTACCAATTTCGAGCTAAAAAGTATCTCGAGAAGATTAAGTACATTGGAGTCTGGTCAACGTAATGATGCAGAATTGACAGAAAATGATATGGTAATGATAATGCCCTTATTGCCACTACAAACAGTCGAATCTATAAAAGAATTCGAAAATTTAATTATATCAAACGAAATTGCTGCATCGCAATTTGTAAGTTATTTTTCATTTGCAATTATTTCTACATCTGTATAGAGATCTATCTATACCATTTACTATATCATTTCCATCTATATCATTTCTATACTAAAAAGGTTCCATATAGAAAAATGAATAAGTTGAATTATATAGAACATTAAAGTGAATGCAATTACCCATTGAATAAGAATCGTTAATTTTTTTAAAAGAAATAGTAAAGAGAATTAATTCATATGTATTATGTAGAACTTCTCATTTTTTTAAATATAGAATTATTTTTATAACCTTTTTTATATGCAGTTTTTATACATTTTTCAATAAACATTATTAACTACTTTCTTTTTCTGAATTTATAGTATAGTTGATATATGATATTATCTCTATATTATATATTATTTACATAAATTTATTGTTAATTTCAGAAAAAATTGATCCTAAAAGTTGGAGGCACCACTCCACGAAATAGCGTTCATCGTACTTTAGAACGAATAATCAGCAATAAATGCGCAATAAATTGTTCCTGGAAAGGCGTTCGATTAAATTATAAAATAAGCAATTTAACATTTATTAAGAATATACGTGGTAAATATTTGAAAATTATATTTAACTACTTTTTAAAATTCTTTTTCAATTCTTTTTAGATTACACAAACGTACATTTTTTTTATTAGATACTATTTAATTATTAAATATAATTTTCCTTTCATATACATGCGTATATGAAATTGTGTCAGTATATTAATTAAATTTTAACTTATTTTACAGATATTATATGCTCTGTACATTCAGGTTTAACTGAATCCGAATTCGATATAACTGCTGCGGAATGGTTCAGGTTTGCAAAGCACCGAGCAATACGGGAAGAAAAAAAATCTATAATACATAGTGCTATTTACATTTAATATACTCACACACGTTAAACACACGTTAAATTGCTTTAGTTTAAAAATTCATTTATATATCTTAATTATTTGTGATATCATAAATATGTTTTTGTTTCGTTATTTTCTTATAATATATATATATAGAAAGTTTACATATATATGTTATATATTTTTATTCAGAAATTTTATTTATATTTTATATAGTTTATATACGTATATATAATTATATCATTTATGATAAGAATAAGTTTCTGTGGACGTATATTATAAGAGGATACATATAAAATTGAGTGATTTTAATAATAACCATATAATAATTAGAAAAATAATATATAATTTTTAAGTTTTATTATTTCGTTTACGAAAATTATAAAGTTATAATGTCTAAATAAAATTAATGATCTATATATATCATATATAAATAATAATCTTATAATCACTTTTAAAGCTTCAAAAACAATATAAAAAATTAAGTTTAATATATGTATTAATGCATTAAATTTAATAAAAATCAATTAAATGATATTTTTAATCTTTTATTAATACATAATCTTTTTATAATATTATTTTCAAAGCTTGAAAAGTGATTATGAGGAAAGATTGTTATAAAGATTATTTTACACACACACACACACGCACGCACGCACGCGCACACACAGCACGCATCTCTCAAAAAGAAAAATTGTAGTTGCTCAACAATTTAATAAATTTTTTTGTTGTATAATATATTGTAATATAAACATATGTATATAGTGCACGATGTCAATATATTAGCTTTTCTGAAAAATTTGCATGTTTTAAAAAATGTAAATTTATAAGTTTTATGTTGACATCGTGTCATTATGTTTATATTCATATTATTCAACAAAAAATTTATACAAAATTATTGAGTTACTACGATTTTTTGTTGAGAGATGTGTGTTGTGTGTGTATGTGTATATAAATTTAATTGTAACAATTATATAAATTAATACATTAAGAACACATAACATACATTAAGTTGTTATATAAATATTACATATATATTCAAAAACATTTGAAAATTAGATGTAACATTCATATAACAATTATATAAATATTGAACCAGTAATCTTAATATGTTATATCTTAATTATAAATATTATAGTTATGTTCTTAATGTAACACAATAATATTACATTATATAATTGTTACAATTAAATGTATAACTATTATATAACATTGTTGCTTCCATGAGTGGGAAATTACAAGGAATGAGAGTATTACATGTTGCAATCCTGTAATATTACTTGTTATATTTTGTTACACTGAGTTATGTAACCGTTATAATATAGTTATAAAATGTGTTTGCTGGGTTGTTACATAAGATTCACTCTAAAACGATTTTTAATAATTATAAAGTGATAAAGTCAAATTGTATTTGCATTATGACAAGTAATGAACAAACTATCAATACGTTACCTTCAAGAAAATTGATAATCCTAACTCTTTGATTACTGTGGAATGTGAATGTCCAAAGCTCTTAGGTTATATTTCAGTCAATTAACAATCAAAGAGCTTTATCACAATAAGCGTAGACCTATAATATTTAATTACACGCTATGGTTAATAAGTCCAATATCAGAACACGATAAAATGTTTTATTTCCTTTATTAAATTTAATTAATTTATTATTAAGAAATAGAATTGTAATATTTTCAAGTATTCTACAAAGTAAATGATATTTTACAAAAATAAAATTTTAATAACTTAAATTGTATATATTTGTTACACGTAACGTTTTCACCAACAGATTTAGAATATAATCATGTTAAATCACTATATTCCTTATTAATTTGATTGCATAGAAAATATTTAATTATCACGCACATGATTTTATATAATAAACAATTATCTCATCAATATGAATATGTGCAGATATAATATAATAAATATAAATATGTGAATATATTATTCTGTTTGCAATCTTTAATTATTAAATTATATTATTTCCAAATTATATGCATAATAGATATGCAACAAAACAATTATTATTAACAATATATATTTGCAATCCAGATATTATATAAAACTATTCACACACAAGAAAAATAATATTTTGAAAAGTAATTGCTGGTGTACGATTACATTTTTGTTTAATTGGCAAACAAATATTTAATAAAATTTATTAATTTAAAAAAAGGAAAAAGAAAAATGAATCTTTTCAATATAAAAAAAATATAAATATATAAATAAATACATAATAACAAAATATATACATTCTAAGCATTTAAATAATAATACAATTTTAAAACAAGACCATTTATATAAATATTTATATACAACGTATTCTAATTATGTTATTCAATATTTTCCAATATTTCTCTCTAATAATTTATTTATAATAATTAAACACAATTTGAATGTAATACGTGATTGCCATTTTCCAAATTATGTAAGCGATTATCTAATCGTGTACATAAAATTTTTCAAATATTTCAAATATATATCAATTGAGATATTTAATTTGAAATATTTATTTTATTATTATTTTGTACATATGCACAAAACATAACTTCGGAATATTTCAAATACATATTAATTGAAATATTTAATTTCAAATATTTATTTTACTATTATTTTGTAAATATACTTAAAACGTTACTTTCGGAATATTGCATATACACACCAATTGAGATATTTCATTTGAAATATTTATTTTCATATTATTTTGTAAATATACCTAAAACGATAACTTTGGAATGTTTTAAATATATATCAATTGAGATATTTCATTTGAAATATTTTTAATATATACTATGATGAAATATTTCAATTGTAACATTTATGATTTATATCAAAAACAAATACGTAAAATGTATCATTTGAAATCTAAATGAAACAATTTGAAACATTGCATGTATATTTCATGTTTAGTGGGTTAACGTTAACAGGAATTTTCAAGATCTCTGCAAGGTCGAATGAATATCAGCATCATCTGCCTTTCTTCACATCCTATGGTGTTTGTTTGAAACATTTTTTCGTCTTGCATATTTAACAAGTTTATTTAAATGTCGTAGGAAGTTTTATTATCAATAAATCATCAATGCCTCTTAAAAATTCTTGTTTAATCTGTAAGTAAATCCTGTATTTATAAATCTTGTTTGTACAGAAATACCTATTTCATAAGTATATTTTGTACTTATTAAATATCTCGAAAGTATATAGGAAAATTTCAGACAAAAGTTGTTTAGTTTAAAGGGAAAACAAAGATAGGCATTTAACTTCGATTGGTATTCATCATTTTGTGCATAAAAATCTTGAGGTAAGATTATTGAATCAAATATTGTGAAGAATCGATAAAATGTTTAGTTTCCTTTGCATATGTTTATTAAAATAATTTATAATGTATTTATATAATTTTACAGATCCGGAAAAATAAAAAAAAATTAATCGGCTGCTCTGTATAAAATAGGCGCTGTATAAAAGCTGCCATAAGCGCTGAATTAGAACATCGGCTGCTAATAGCGCTGAATTTTGGCTTGCCCTAGACGCCTGCATCCAATTACAAAAATTAATTTTGTTCGGCCTATTACGTATCCAAACTAAAATTATTCGCTATTATAGCGTTTTCGTCTGTAATAGCGCAGATTTTTGGCTTGCCCGTGGCGCCTATACAATTAGAAAAAGTATTTTTGTTTTGGGTCTATTACACATCCAAATTAACAGTATTCGCTTTTGTAGCATTTTAGTCTGCAATATCTCAGACCTTTCGCCTGCCCTAGGCGTCTAATTAGAAAAATCTTATTTGATACTTGCATCACTAGAAGGCTGCCCCAAACGCCGTATATCTATAACTAAAACTGTCCCAAACAACTGAAAATGGATCATCAGTGTCACAAGTTCCATTATGGCAATAAGGAAAAGAATATTTTGGCTTCCAAAGAATGGTTGACGGAAACGATGATAGACAGTTTCCATGCGCTACTCGAAAGCAATTCTGATTATGCACCTCGACCTGTATGGTTGACAATATTTCCCGATCAGATTGTTCCACTGAATAATTCAAAGAAGAAGCATTTGCAAATACTGCACAGTGATTTTGGTGGTGGACATTGGGTTGCTTGCCATTACGATGCAAAATCTATTATTATATATGATTCTCATGAAGGTA